CCCCGCGCCGACCGCCTCTCCGCGCCCTCGCGGCTTCCGCTCCGACCCCGCCGCTGGCCTTGGGGAGTCGGGGACGTTTCTGCCGCCCCGCGGAGTGCAGTGGTGTGACCGTAGGTCCCTGCAGCCTCGAGCCCCGGCTCCCGCCTCAGCCTCGGAGCGGCTGTGCCTGCAGGCACGCGCCACCACGCCGACCAAGTTTTTACATTTAATGCTTTTTTGAGTGGGAGTCTCACTCCGTCGCCCAGACTGGAGGGCAGCGGCCGCTCCCGCCCGCGCAGCCTCGACCTGCCGGGCTCCGGCCATCCTTCCGCCTCGGCCTTCCGAGTAGCTGGAACGACAGGCGTGCGCTACCATGCCTGGTAAGTTTTTTTTTTTTAGTTGGAGTCTCACTCTGTCACCCAGGCTGGAGGGCGGTGGCATCCTCCCGGCCACCGCAGCCTCGACCTGCCGGGCTCAGGGGATCCTTCTGCCTCGGCCTTCCGAGCAGCCGGAATGACAGGCACACGCTCCCACGCCCAGCTGACTTTTCGAGGTTATTGTAGAGACGAGGTCCCACCAAGTTTCCCAGGCTGGTCTCGAATCCCTGGGCTCAGGCAGTCCTCTCGCCCGGCCTCCCAAAGGGCTGGGATGACAGACTGAGCCACTGAGCCTGACCTTGGCTAATTTTCACTTTTTTTTTTGGCAGGGACAAGGTCTTGTCACGTTGCCCAGGCTAGTCTTGAACTACTGGGCTCAAGTGATCTTCCCGCCTTGGCCTCCTAAAGTGCTGAAATGACAGGTGTGAGCCACCACGCCCAGCTTTCTCCGGACTTAGGAAAACCTGCAATCCTAGTTTTCTGGTGGGGGATGTCACCAAGATCCGCCTTCCCCTCTGACTCCATACTGCTTTCCCCCGAGGTCCGGGACTTCCACGTCGCCAAGCCGCGCTCTCGCTGGGCAGCATTCAGGCCCAAGTCAAGGACCCCTTGCAGCCTTCTTCACAGCCGAAGAGACAACGTCACCAAGCACAGGCCCCGCTGTTCTTCTGTGACAGAATGAGCCCCGGCACATGTTTTCCTTGCCACTTAGCAGTGAGAGGGTTGGTTTGCAATCGCTCTCTCCTGATTTCCGAAACCAGTTAAGGGACACTGGCGTGTCACAGTCCTTGGTCACAGCGTGGGCTTCAGAATTCCCTGCCGCAGTCAACACTGCTTCCCCTCGCTGTTCCCCCTGCTTAGGCACATTCGAACCCACGGGCTCAGGCAATTCACTCACCTCAGCCTCCCAAGGCACGGGATTACAGCCACCGAGCCCAGCTCACTTTACTTTTTTGAGTCGGGGTCTCTGTCGCCCAGACTGGGGTGCGGTGGCACGCTGAAGGCTCACCACAGCCTCCGGTACCTGGGCTCAGGCCCTCCTCCCTCCCAGAACTGCTGGAGCAGAGCCTGGGGCTCAGACAGGAGGACGCCCCGAGGCCAGGTCGTCTGGCGGCTGCAGCTGCAGACACCGCTGCCCTCTCTGGGTTCCCTGCTCCCTGATCTTCCTGGGGAAGGAGGGGGGGACAAGGGGGCTCTTGCCTGGGCTTCGAATCCCGCTCCCGAGCACCCTCTCCACACCCAGGGGGCCCGTGTGGAGGCTCTGGTGTCCAGGGTGTGGCCGAGCTGAGCAAAGGGACCCAGTGAGGCCCTGACTCTCCACGAGGCAGGCCAGCAGGTGTGACAGGGCCCTGCTTCCACCCCCAGGAGGGAAGCAGCTGCCTCACTACCTGGGTCCCTCCTGAGGGGGAAACACCCTGAGTGTTTTTTTTGTGATTAGGGTTGCCCAAGCTGGAGTGCAGCAAGTGGCGACAGCAGCCTCCAACTCCTGGGCCCGGGCAATCTTTCTGCCTCAGCCTCCCGAGCACCTGGGACTACAAGTGTGTGCTGCCATGCTCAGCTAACTTTGATTTTTTTTGTAGAGACGGGGCCTCACTGTGTTGCCCAAGCCAGTCTCAAACTTCTGGGCTCAAGCAATCCTCTATCCTCGGCCTCCCCAAAACGCTGGGATTCCAGGTGTGAGCCACTGTAGCCGGCCTCCAAGTGCTTCTTCCACCTACAAGCAACACAGACGACTTCTGTAACCAAATGTCGGAGGTGGTTTCCCCCACACCAAGCAAGCAGTCAGTCTGTAGCAGACACCCGCTGGCGTCCTCCAACTCCACCATGACACTGTCTACCTGGAGTCAGGTTGAGGGTTCAGTCCCCGAAGATGCCCCCAGCTTCCAATGCCAACCACAAGCCCCAGGTGGCTTTGCCTGTGCTTCTGGCCGACTGGCCGTGAATTGGGCTTAACTAATTTGCTGAGCGGCTCACAGAACTTGAGGGCACTTATTGCATCTGCCAGCTTATTTCAAAGTGCATTTTTTTTTCTGAGTTAGAGTCTCACTCTGTCACTCAGACTGGAGTGCAGTGGCCGCTCCCAGCCACCACAGCCTCGACCTGTTGGGCTCCGGGGATCCTTCTGCCTCAGCCTTCCGAGTAGCCGGAACTACAGGCGCGTGCTACCACGCCCAGCTAATTTTTTTATTTATTTATTGTAGAGATGTGGTCTCACCAAGTTGCCCAGGCGAGTCTTGAACCTGCAGGCTGAGGCAATCCACTCACCTCAGCCTCCCAAAGCGCTGGGATTACAGACTGAGCCACCGAGCCCGACCTTACAAAGGGTATTTTTAATTTCCAATTTTTTCTGAGTCGGTATCTCACTCTGTTGCCCAGGCTGGAGCGCGGTGGCACACTCCCAGCCACCGCAGCCTCGACCTGCTGGGCTCCGGCGATCCTTCCACCTCAGTCTTCCAAGTAGCTGCAACTACAGGCGCACGCTATCACACCTAATTTTTTGATTTACTGTAGAGATGAGGTCTCACCAAGTTCCCGAGGCTAGTCTCGAACTCCTGGGTTCAGGCCATCCTCCTCTCGCCTCGGTCTCCAAAAGTGCTGGGATTATAGGCTTGAGCCACTGTGCCCGGCTAATTTTTTTAGTTGAAGTCTCACTCGCGTGATGCTGGCTCACCACAGCCTTGACCTCTTGGGCTCAAGTGATCCTCCCGCCTCAGCCTCCCAAGAAGCTGGGACTATAGGCACACACCACACCTACTTTCTTTTTTTAATAGAGATGAGGTCTTGCTATGTTGCCTAAGCTGGTCTTGAACTCCAGGGCGATTCTTCCGTCTTGGCCTTCCAGAGTGCTGGGATTACAGGCATGAGCCACTGCGCCTGACCAAATTTTTTTATTTTTACAAAGCATATTATTTATTTATTTGTTTATTTACTTTTTGAGTTGGAGTCTCACTCTGTCACCCAGGCTAGAGTGCAGTGGCACGCTCACGGCCACCCCAGTGTCGACCTGCTGGGCTCTGGCAATCCTTTCGCCTCAGCCTTCCAAGTAGCCGGAATGACAGGCATGCGCTACCACACCTGGCTAATTTTTTTTTGATTTATTGTAGAGAAGAGGTCTCACCAAGTTGCCCAGGCTGGTCTTGAACCCGCAGGCTCAGGCAGTCCACTCGCCTCAGCCTCCCAAAGTGCTGAGATTACAGGCTGAGCCACCGAGCCTGGCCCAAAGCACATGTTTTAAAGGATGCAAGTAAATAGCCAGATGGCTACACAGTACGTGGTCTGGAAGGGTCTGGAGCCCAGAGCTTCTGTCCCGTGGAGTTGGGGTGCCTCCCTACCGGAGTGTGGTGGTTCTCATTCAGCTTCCTGTGAGTCTCCACGTGTTCTGCTATGCAGAAGCTCTCCAGACCCTGCCCTTCTGGGTTTCCACCGAGGCTTCATTACGTCGATGGGATCGACTGAACCACTGGCCACTGGGGATCAACTTAAGCTTCAGCCCCTCTGCCCTCCTTGGGGAAAGTCCAGCCCTCTCACCCTGCCTTGGTCACCAGCCCCGTCTTGAAGCCCCCGGAGGGCTGCCAGTCACCAGCCAGTTGTTGGCATGCAAAGACACCACTGTGGAGATTCTGACTATTTTAGGAGTTGGATGCCAGGAAGTCGGGTTGAAGACAACATATCCACGTCACGACAGCACACGCCCACAGCACCTCGGCCCGGCAGGCCACGCGCCCGCCGGCCTGGCCCTGACGCAGTCGTGCTGCAGTGAGGCCTGCTGGTGGGCTGCGCGGTCCCTGCTCAGTCTGGGCTGCCTGCACACCCTGCGGCCAGGGACGCGCAGGGCAGCCAAGGGCAGGCCCTCCGCTGTCCACACCCAGGGCTCCTAGTGCTCATGGGCTGGGGCTGTGGAGGGAGGGTTCAAGGGCCTGTGGTGACCACAGCCGTTCCTGGCCAGGCCACCTCCCGTGTCTCCTGTGAAGCAGGCACAGAGGACACAGCCCAGGCCTCAGGCACACGTGTGTGAAGAGGCACACTGCGGGGGCCGTGGTGGGTGGCACTGTGAAGGAAGCGCAGCCTGTCCCAGCAGCTGGCGGCCGAGGCAGGCCCAGCTTGCTTTCCTCCGGGCACCCTGGCCCATGGACTCGGAAGGAAGTGGAGGGAAGGCGCTGCTGTGTAAGGACATTTATTGTATCATAAAAGTCCGCCGCCATCCCGCTTTTCGGTATGTACATGCTCCTGTGGGCAGGCTCCGTCCAGCCCCTGCCCCCTCCATGCCAGTCGACCCTCCAACTGACCGACTGTTAGTACAAGAGGAAGAACTGGAGGTGGCCCAGGGCTGGGGGAGGGAGACAAAGTGCAGAGTGGCTGGGTGTGGCCCGGGCACTGGCCGCGGGTAGGAGGGGCCCGGCCCGGCAGGGCTGGCACAGCGCCGCCTCCCCAGAGCTGCCGGGCTGGAGGCAGCGGCTGCAGGGAACACCCGAGGGCGCGCTCAGGCTGCACCCCAGGGATGGAGAGCAGAGGAAGGAGGGCCTGCAGTCTGACCGGGGGTCTCTGCCAGGGCTGTCCAAGCTTTCTCTTGTTTAGGTCCCCATCCACATGGCCGCCACAGCAGCTCGGCCTGGTCAGAAGAGTCTGTGGTCCCTGGACAGCCTGCTGGGAAGCACCGGTCCTCATCTCAGGGGCAACCGCCTTAGTTGACCTCAGAGGCAGGCATGGGATCTGTGGGGCGTGGTGCAGCCAGGAGGGGCACCGGGGAGGTGGCCTCAATGAGCGCCGGGTTGAGGATGATGGGCAGAGGCATGGGGGGCACGCCCACCTGCAGCGGGGATGCCAGGGGCTGCAGAATCAGTGGGTGCTGAGCCAGCGGGGCTGGGCCCTCTGGGGCAGGGCTCAGCCTGCTGGGGCTGGAGGCCACTGTGGACCCCGGGGAGCTGCTGCCAGCGGCTCGGGGGCCCTCGGGCTTCTCCAAGTCTGTAGGGAGAGCAAGGTGGCTGCCATCAGACACCTGTGGGCACAAGGCGTCGCTCACGCTCCCCAGCTGGTTCCCACACCTCTGCTGCTCCCCGGAGCCTGTGAGCAGAGTCCGAAGAGCCGAGGCTTCCCCAAGCTCACTTGGGCACTGGCTGCCTCAAACTGGCCTCCCCTCCCTGGCTGTACTGCTTTGTCACGGGGGCCTGGTCTTGCCTAGAATCCTCGGGGGCAACCTCTGTGCGTCCCTTCCAGTCCCAGCCCCAGCCCTCTCCTCCCAAGCTGAAGCGTCGCACGCTAGCTCCCGGGGCTCCCTGGTCCTGCCAGTTCCCACAGGAGGGCTGGTAGACAGGCGCCCCTGGCTGCCTCCCTCCCTGCTTCCAGCCCACACTCAGCAGGCCAGTCCGGGACTCACCACAGGCCCCCAGCTCCGAGGGTGCTTCCGGGGAAGGGGGATGGCCAGGCGTCCTGGTGTCACCAGCAGCAGGCGTCAGGTGCGCCGAGGCCAGGGGTTTCTGGCCAGGGGGCTCCACGGGCAGGGGGTCTGGGAGGGCCGAGGGTCCAGAGGCAACGCTCAGTGCATCCCTCTGCAGAGTGCTGCTTCCTCCGGGCTGCCCACCCCCTGGGTACAGAGAGCGGTTGGCTCTGGGGACTTGAGGAAGTTGGGTGCCCATACCCTGGATGACCGTCTGCTTGAAGAGCTCGTCCCGCAGATGGGGCAGGAAGCAGTCAATGCGCTCCCAGGTGATCTCCCAGAGGGCGGAGGGGTGGCCTCCCCGGGCGTCTGCGCTGCGGAAAATCTCCGCCGTGTGCATCACCAGGAGCATGTTCTTCAGAGACTCGGGGACCGCCTCTGACTGCAGGCAGGGGGTGGGGTGCGTGAGGACAAGGGAGGCGCATCGCACACAGGGCAGCATACTTCCCAGCGGGTGGGTGGGGGCGGGCGGGCAGCAGGGTTGAGCCAAGGGAGCACCTACCAGCAGGTCACTGGAGCCCGCGTGCATGTACTTGTCCATGAAGTCCAAGATGGTGAGCCAGAGGGCCGCAAAGGTAGACAGCGACAGCAGCGGGGACAGGTGCTGCAAGAAGACCTACCACACACAGGCCCTTCAGCAAGGGGCTGTAGGAGCCCTCGGCAGGCCTGCCCCAGCTCATGTGGGCATCCCGAGACCGCCCAGGCCCTGGCGTCTGTTGCATCCCTGCGCCGGTGTCCCGAGCGCCCGCACTCATCTCTAGTCTTGCCAGAGCCCTGGCTTCCCTTTCTGGGAGAAGGCAGGGGTGCAGAATGGGGGAGTACCTTGGAGAGCAGTGTAGAAGCCCTCATCCGGGTCTCTTCCATCCCACCCACGTCTGCAGGACTGATGTTCTCCAGGAGCTTGGTCAGCAAAGGAAACAGCACCTGGTGGGGTGACACCCAGCGTCTCCTGCAGGGTCCATCGGGCAGCCTTGCCCCGATGAAGCCAGGCACGGGGTGGACAGGCATGGGGCCGAAGGGAAGGTGTGTCTCCGGCCCAAACGGCCACTCGGGGCTCTTCAGGCTGCCTGGCTCCCTGGTGCTAGGACGCGAGCGCCACCTCGAGGCCAGCAGGACATCCTACCTTGTTAAAGCAGGACTCCCACTCCAGGGCATCCAGCTTTTGCAGGTCGTGCACCAGGAGTGCTCGCTGCAGATAGGTGAGGGCCTGCATCCGCACCTGGCGCCGGGCATCACAGCACAAGCAGGCGATGCCTGAGAGCAGGGATAGGGTCGGGAGGGGCCCTTCGGTGTCTCGGCCCCAGGGCCCGGTGCTCCCGAGCTCCGGCTCACCCCACCCTCCCCCGCCCATCGCCCAGGCTTACCCTGCAGCAAAGGGCACCAGCAGCGGGCCCAGAGGGTGCGAGAATCTGCTTCGATCCTCCTGCCCCCGGTCTCCAGGGGGCGCTGCTCCTCCGCCCACGAGCTGTAGATGGAGGCCGCCCGCGTGTGCAGGGTGTGCATCAGGTCTAGCAACTGAGATCACAGCAGAGTGAGTGGGGTCTGCTCGGGAGACCCCGTTCCCTCCCCCCTTGCTGTCCCTGGCTGTCTTCAGGGCTCCCAGCACCAACCACGCCACACAGTGCCCCTCTGGCTGCCCCCTTTCCTTGACCCGCTGAGCGGGTGGCTCCAGCCCTGGCCTGTTTCTCAGGGTCAGGCATCACTCCCGGCGCAGGAGGCGTCAGGGACGTGAGGACGCGACAGCACTGACTCAGGCGACGAGAAAGGTCCTTCCTTCTCGATTCTATTTCACACCTTCTGATGGCAGAGAAAGCCTCATCCTGTGAATCTCGTTTGAAGCGCGAATAGCAGCCTCAGGCTCAGAGGCTGTGATGGGCAGTAGCGTCCAGGCAGATTTCGTAAAGTTTCGTTTTCACCGTTTTTCTAAGGATATTCCATTTAAGGCAACTGGTTCGCCACTTACTTAGTGATCTCAAGTCTGCTCAGAGTGCCTTGAGTGGCCACCCTGTAACTATGGAAGGTCACACAAGAAACTGTGACTGTGGCTGCCTCAAGAGAAGGGAACTTGGTGGCTGGAGACAAGAGTAGGGATGGAAACTTGCTTTGATCAGTTTCCCCCTTTGCACCTTTTGAACTTTGTACCGCGTACATATATTACCTATTCAAAAAATAGTAAACCTTAGTTTAAAAATAGCTGCAGACTGCCGGGAGGCCCTGGAGAGGGAACTGCCGTGCGGTGGCCCAGGGCCTGGGCAGGACACACAGCCCTCCCTCGCCCCTGCCTTTCCCTGGCCCCACCCAGGTGCCCGAGTCGCGTGCGGGGGAGGAGAGGAAGGAACGGGTGCCGTACTTACGTCCTGACTGACCTGTAAAGACACCGTGTGGTAGCTGGCAGGCACACCTTCGTCCTCGTCGTCATCACTGTGCCCACCCCGGGTGGCGTGCTGGCCAGAGGCGCGAGGCCGCCGCAGCACCGAACCCTCCTTGGGCTTCTTCTTGAAGCGGTTCCCTTTGCTGTCGTATTTGTGACTCTTGCCACGTTTCTCCTGGGACTTGCACCCTGGGCAGAGCCGGACGCAGGTCCCATTTCCGCACCTACAGGCACAGACGCCCTGCCTGTCTCCCCCCCCCCCCCCCCCCGCTCCTCTGCGGTCACAGGGTGACGCCCCAACCGCGCCCCCCCAGGTGACCCACCGCCATTCAGACTGGCCTCCACAAAGACGCGCAGAGTCTTGACACAGAGCTCAAAGTTGTCGGGTGTGATGTGGGCAGCATCGCGCACGATGAAGGACAGCGACTCCACACACTTCAGCAAGGACTTGGTGTCATGTGGCCCCAGGTCCAGTCCCACCGTCAGGCTGTACTGATTGACCAGGGGTGAAGCTCCTGGACGGCTGGATCCTGGGCCTGGCTTGGGGCTGTCAAGGTCGTCCTTTCCCACCTGTGAGGCACACGAAGGCGCTGGGGACCCAGGCTTGACCTAGCTGCCCCCAGGCACGCTCACGGAAGGCCAGGCACCCCCAGGCCAAGGAGAGAAGGCTCGCCCACTGCCCACACCCCCGCTTACCACTAGCCAGCCACTGTTGGCCACGTCGGCGTCTGTGGCTGACCGGTGTATCTTGCCAGGCCTGTTGTGCTCAGCGTAGACCTCTGAGTCGGAAGTGTACCCTCGGTCCAGGCTCACATCATTTTGATGGTAGGATGGGAGCTCACTGTCTGACTGGGCCCCTGAGCCAGGCAGGCAGAAAGGCAGAGTCAGGGCGGGATGGGACCTGGGATAAGGGACCCTTGGGCTCTTGGCAGAAAGGGGCTGAAGCCTGGCCTCCTCTCTGGCACAGCTTCCTTTCAGTCCTGTCTCAGAGGGCCGAACGCTGGCTTGGGCAGCCTCTCTCTTGACCAAATAGGGCAGCGGGCTAATTTGGGCTCCTGATGACATCTAGTAGCAGCTGTCAGGAGAGGGGAGTGGGGGCAAGGATGCAGCTTCTGGGGAAGCAATCCTCAGGACAGCAGAAAGCCTGGCTTCACAGCCTCCCGCAGGACGCGCTGCCCTCATGCTGTGTAACCTATGTGCACCGGCTGGCTGGCCAGCCAGCACTGGAGGCAGACAGCAGAGCTGCAGAGTGCCATCAGCTGAGCACAACAGCCTGTTTTTGTTTTTCTGTTCCAACTCCTGGGGCATAGCTGTTTATGCGCCAGCCCGAGTCTCCCCAGCAGAGGGCTTACCAGCATCAGGCGCTTCGGCCCTGGCCGGGGCCTGCAGAGCTGCCGGAGGCTTCACACCTGAGCCGATGCACTCCAGCAGTGTGAAGAGGGTGGCCCAATCATCACTTGAGTGGATGTTGGCTGCATTGGTCTTCAGGAGTTCGTGGAGCCCATAGGCAACCTGGTGACTGACTCTGGACAGCACACTGGGCTTCATCAGCAGCAAAATGCGCAGGGAGAGCAGCACCTGGGTGGGAGGGAAAGCCAAAGGGGGGAGTGGGAGCGCAGCTTCCAACTGAGTGTCCTTCCCTACTGGGACCCTGGGGCCAACGAGGAGGGCGTGTCTGGGGCCAACTTAAGGCACTGCTGCTGGTCTTCTTTTCATTTTTTTCAAATTGAAAATATTTGAGTCAGAGCTGTACTCTGTTGCCCAGGCTGGAGGGCAGTGGCACGCTCACAGCCAACGCAGCCTCGACCTGCTGGGTTCAGGTGATCCTTCCACCTCAGCCTCCCGAGTAGCTGGAACCAGAGGCATGTGCCACCACGCCTGGCTCATCTTTTGATTTACTGTAGAGATGAGGGCTCACCATTTGCCCAAGCTGGTCTCGAACACCTGAGCTCAGGCAATCCTCTTGCCTCCACCTTCCAAAGTGCTGGGATGACAGGTGTGAGTCACCACGCCCAGCTCAAATTGAAATTTTTTTCTGTGACAATTATAGGTTCGTATGCAGTTGTAAGAGATAATACCAAGAGATCCCTTACATACTTTGCCCAGTTTACTCCAATGGGCACATTATGCAAAACTACAGTATATTATCATAGCCAGGGCAGTGACACTGATATAATCCCCTGGTCTGATTCAGAGTCCCCAGGTTTTCCTTTATGTAGGTATGTATGTGTGTCTATGTTCTGCACAGCTCTACCACCTGTGTCGGTCTGTGTAAGACAACATATTAACAGTCCAACACAAGACCCTCATCTCCTCCTTCTTACCTGAATCCCTGACCCCAGCAATCTGCCTCCAACTTCTAAAAACTTGTCGTTTAAGGAATATTGTATAAGTGAGAGGATATAGTACACAACCATTTTTGAGACTGGCTCCCTCCCCCCCATTCAGCATAGTTCCCTGGTGATTTATCCAAGTTGTTTATGTATCAATAGGCTATTGTTTTAAACTGCTGAACAGGGCGGGCTTGGTGGCTCAGCCTGCAATACCAGCACTTGGGGAGGCTGAGGTGAGTGGATTGCCTGAGCCCGCTGGTTCGAGACCAACCCAGGCAACTTGGAGAGACCTTGTCTCCATAATAAATCAAAAATTAGCCAGGCGTGGTAGCCCACGTCGGTAGTTCCAGCTACTTCGGAAGGTTGGGAAGGTCGATGCTGGGGTACCCGTGAGTGTGCCACGGCACTCCAGCCTAGACGATGGAGACTCCAACTCAAAACAAACTGCTGAACAGTTTCCATGGCAGGCACATACCAGTTTGTTCACCTACTGAAAAGCATCTGGGCTGATTCCAGTTTGGGGCTACTATAAGCAAAGCTTCTGTGAATATCCATGTACAGGCTTTTTGAGAAAGTAAGCTTTAACTTTTCTGGGATAAACGCCCAACGGTGTTAAGTGCTGGGTTGTGTGGCAATAGCATGTTTCACTGGGTAGGAAACTGCCGGCAGAGGGGCGGAGCCACTTCCCACTCCCGCCAGCAGTGTGTGAATGTTCCAGTTCCTCTGCGTCCTTGCCAGCATTTGGTAGTTGCCCTTTTCACTCTGGCCGTTCTGTAAGTGTGTAGTGATGCCTCACAGTGGTTTAAACCATTTAAAGTGCATTTCCTTGATGGCTAATGATGCTGAACTTCATGTGTTTGCCTGTCATTTGCGTATCTTTGGTGAAATGTTGGTTCCTGTCCTTTGCCACTTTGTAACTGGATTGTTTTCTCATTGTTGTGCTTTGAGAGTGATTATACTTTAGTTTTCTTTCTTTCTTCTTTTTTAAAAAGTTTTCAAGCTAAGTTTATTTAGAAAGCAAATTAGACATAGAAAGAGAGAGAGGAGATTCACCTCTCCAAGGTAGGGGAGAGGGCCAAAGCTAAGAAAACATGGTACCCATAGCTCAAAGAATCATGTGGAGACCCCAGAGCTTAACAAAGCAATGGCGAGTTTTCTTTATTTCAATACTGCAGGGAAGAGTTACTTTAGACACCAGCCCTTCCTCAAATACACAACCTGCAAACATTTGTTCCTACTCTGTAGCTTGTCTTTCATCCTCCTCTTTTTTTTTGAGTTGGAGTCTCACTCCGTCGCCCAGACTGGAGGGCAGTGGCCGCTCCCGGCCACCGCAGCCTCGACCTGCTGGGCTCCGGCGATCCTTCCGCCTCAGCCTTCCCAGTAGCCGGAATTACAGGCGCGCGCTACCACGCCCGGCTGATTTTTTGATTTATTGTAGAGATGAGGTCTCGCCTGCCTAGGTGGGTCTCAAACCCGCGGGCTCAGGCAATCCACTCACCTCAGCCTCCCAAAGGTGCGGGATTACAGGCTGAGCCACCGAGCCCGGCCTGTCTTTCATCCTCTTTACATAGGTTCTCAGAGAGCAAAAGTATTTAATATCGAAAAAATCCAATTTAGCAATTTTCCCTTTTCTGGATTTTGCTTTTAGGGTCAAGTCTAAGAACTCTTTGTCTAGCTCTAGAACTTGAAGATTTTCTCTCATGTTTCTAAAAGTGTTATAGTTTTACATTATTTTTATGATTGATTTATTTTTAAAACAAGCTCTGCCAAGTTTTATTGTAAAGAACAATCTTGCATGATTTACTTTCCACCAGTCTGTTCTGGCATGCTTCTAATGATATCAGAATCACCTGGATCAATGCTAGCCAGTGTGCACACTCTGTAGTATTTTCCACATGCTGTGCCCAATTCAATATTATTTGCCACTGTAGTGATGAAAACCAGTTTTGACCAACATAGTGCAGTCCTCTCTTTCAGATTTCCTCAAAGCCGGGCAGTTGTTGGCAAGGACGACCAACTTTGTTTTGCCTTGTCATATCATCTTCGGAGTCTGTTTGTACCCCAACACGTACTTTCCACTTTTCATAACGAGTTGGAGCCTTGAGTTGATGGACTCCAGGGACTTTTTTGTCTTCTTTGCGGCCACCGTCTTCCTGCCTTCTGTAGTTCTCCTTATTATTTGAATCACTTCAGCATTATTTGTTGAAAAGGCTATCTCTCCTCCATTTAAGTGTTTTTACATTTTTTTTTTTTTTTGAGTTGAGCCACTGCAGCCTCGACGTGCTGGGCTCAGGTGATCCTTCCACCTCAGTCTTCCAAGTAGCTGGAAATACAGGCACGTGTCACCATGCCTGGCTAATTTTTTGATTTACTGTAGAGACGAGGTCTAACCCAGCTGCCCAGGCTGATCTCAAACCCGCAGGTTCAGGCAATCTTTTCACCTTGGCCTCCCAAAGTGCTGGGATTACAGGATGAGCCACCGCCCCCAGCCTGCATTGAGTTTATTTCTGGGTTCTTTTTTCTTTTCCATTGATCTATGTGTCTTTCTCTCTACCAATACCATATATAATCTATAACTATATAGTTAAGTCTTAATATCAGATAGAGTGATTCCTCCCACTTTATTCTTTCTGGTTGTTATAGGTTTGTGACTTTCCATCTAAATTTTAGAATAAGTATACCAACATCTACAAAACCCTTGCTGGGATTTTTATAGGAGTCGCATCACACTTACAGCTCAACTTGGGGGAGTATTGATGTCTTTACTACGTTTCCTCTTCCAATCTATGAGCATGGTATGCCTCTTCATTTATTGAGATGTTCTTCTAATTCCTTCATTTGCATTTTGAGTTTTTGGCATTTAATTTCTACACATTTTGTTAGGTGTGTATCTGAGTATTTTGCCTCATTTGGGGCATCTGTAAATGGTCCTGTGTTTTTAATTTCAGTGTCCATATGTTCATTGTCAGCATGCGGAAATATGATTACTTTCTGTGCACTGGTCTTATATCCTGTAGCCTTGCTGAACCTGCTTATTGCTACGCTGGTTGTTTCTTTTCGCGGAGCTGAGAGAACCCAGAAGGGTTGTAAGCAGGAGAGTCAGGAAACCAGGTACGGGCTGGGATGGCCATGAGGCAGCAAGGCAGCGGCAGCCCGGCCCTACAAAGCAGACTCGCAGGAGACTGTGGAGGCGCAGCGCTGCGCAGACAGCATGAGCTTCATGCCCGAGGCCCTTCCAGCCATGCCTCAGTGCCACCGGTCACACGGCACCAGCTTTGTGGCTAGCCACCAGGCTCGTGTGACGGGGCACTCTATGTACTCTCTGACACTGAGGCCCTAACCCCTGTGTGCCTGGCCACTCCCCCAGACGCACCCTGCTTACCTGCCCACTGATCTCTTCTCTCCGGAGCAGCCGAATAGCCAGGCGCAGCAGCCCCACCACTGCCCGCTCCACCAGGAAACAGAAATCTTGTGCCTGGACACAGAGGTGGTACAGATGGTCTCTAACAGTCTGCCACACACAGCCCACACGGTCCCTGCAGAGAACACAAAGGGATGAGGACAGTATAAGCCAGAGAGGCCACTGGGCGCGCAGTCTCCTAGGCCTTTTAGGCGCCTTGGTAGTATACCCTAAGGGGACAGGTTCAAGGAACAAGCTTCTCCCCTACTGCCTACAGCTCCCGGATTCCACTCGGCAAGATGGCTTCTGACCCTCTGACAAGCCCGGGGGGGGTCTGCCCAAAGACTGCCCTTACCTGCCTTCTCTTACCTGTTCTCCAACACAATCCTAAGCAGCATCTCCAGACAGAAAGCAGCATCTTCCTCATCGTATGTCTCCTCATCTGGTGTCACTGAGACCAGAGCCTGGAGGGGAACGGCAGCAGGACAGCAGGCATGGGGGAGAGAAGTCGAGGCCTGCACAACCGCCTCGTCACCCTCCCAGGCCCAGCCAGCTCTCTTGTTCCTCTTTCCTTTCTTCAGCCTGTACCTTCATGAGCTCCTGCAGGGATTCCAGCTGGAGGAACTTGCTTTCTGTGATCGTCTTTTCTGGGTCACATTGCTAGAGCAGGTACAAGAAGAGGGGGGTCTATGGCAAGGGCTGAAGGGAAGAGAAGGTCCCTAAGAGCCAGGGAGAGAGGGCAGTGTCAGCCCTGGCCACAGCCCTGGGTGATCCCTTTCTTCTGTTTGCAGGGCAGCACCTGTCCAGTAGGGAGGAGTCTAGGCTTCTCACCAGGGGTGGGCACGCAGTTACCTTGATACAGTCTAAGGCCACTTTCCTGGCCTCTTGGTTCTCAGTGGATGGGCCCCGCACACTAGACTGCTCAGGCCCACTCAGCGTCAGCCAGCTCACGAAGCTCAGCACTGTTGACTCTCCTCTGTAGAAAAAGGGGCCTTAGTGAGCCCCAAAGTTCTGACTCTCCCCGCCAAGGTCCTCAGCCTTGGGTTTGATCTTACCGGTTTGAGGGTGTCTCCTCCCGCTGTAGAGAGATCTTGCCATTGGGATCCACAAAATCTTCTACCTAAAAAAGCAGGCCAAAAATAAATTCTTCCCACGTGTCCTGCGCATGTGCCCCCAGCAACATCCCCTGGATTTCCTCCTGCAGCCCTCTGCCCCGACAGCACTGCACCCCTCCGTCTGGAGATGGTGATGGCTTCTACATGCCCCCTCTCCCAGTTGTCCCCCAAGGTCTGTGGTCCTGCATTGGAGGCATTTCTGGTGAGCTCTGGCAGCCCTCAGGCCCAACGCTACCCCCAGCTGGTTCTACATGCAGACAGCAGACAGTGCTGCAGCTCACGTCTTGTTCCTGCCGACTCGTCTCCCACAAAGAATTACCTCGACCATGGCCTTGGGCAGTAGCTGGGCCCGGAAGAGCTGTAGCATGGCTTCCATGATGTTCTTCCAGCCCTCCCGCAGGATGTCACCATGGCGGTGGGCCAGGTGGAAAACTGTCTTGGCTGCAATGTGGGCTTTGGGGTTGCTTCCGAAAACACTGGGCAGGTTCTCGACAGACTGGAAAGGAGGAGGAGAAGAAGCGAAGGGCCTGGCTGATGTCTGGAAAGGGAACTGGCTCAGCCTCTGCTGGTGGTCCCCTCCGGGTCCTTCAGTGGGCTTTGTTCCCATTGCCCACACCGTGAGGTGAAGGGCTGACCTGGGTGGGGGACCCTCCCCACTCTTGTACCCTCTTTCCCATCCCCATCACAGGAGGTGACACTCCTCTCAGCACTGGGTGTGCAAGACAGAAATGGCCCATGCTCTGCAGACGAGGACAGATCTGTGACTGAAACGGAGGTCCTCCTTCGAACTCCAGCCACACAGTTCCTGCCCCTGCTCACCTCACTGCTGAGAGCTGTGAATTTGCACAGAGAGATGATGAGATTGTCAAACACATCGCTGAGGCCATAGTGGGCGGAGATCATGGCGCACTTCCTGCAACATCACCCCCATCCCAGAAAGAGCATCACTGGGAGGCCAGGCTGGCCTTCCAAGTCCCTGAGAAGGCTCGCTTGGGACTGTTCTCCAGTCAGAAACCTTTTCCTCTTGACTGTTGAAGACTAAGGGCTTCCCCAAGCGTCAGCCTCCCCCTCCAAAGACTCAGGAGAAACCACGTTCTAAGGAAAGTAAGGGGGCAGAGAGACACGGAGGCAACGGCGCAGGAGCAGGGAGGCGGGGACGACGCAGGCCGAGGCCGAGGTCAAAGCCGGGCTACCTGAAGCCTGAGATTGCCTTCTGGATGACCGTCTCCTCGAGGCTTTTGTCAAAGACGTACGAGAGGGCAGCGACAGTGGGGCCCCAGGCCGTAGCGAAGAGGTCCAGGTCGTGGCTGCCCGCAGGCACCCGCAAGAAAAGGCCCTCGGGCGTGGCGCCGCGGTGCAGCAGCACGCTCCACACGTAGTTCTCCCGGACCAAGCCCGTCTGCTCCTCGGGCATCACGATCTCCTCGTTCCTGCCAGGTGCAAGGGGAGGCATGGGCGTGCTGCGGTGGGCCCAACTGGCTCCTCCCCACGAGAGGCCTTCAGAAGCAAAGCTCAGAGGCCTGTTTCCCACCCGCCAGTGGGCGCAGGGGGAGGAAAGCAAGTGTTCCGGTCTCAAAGCCCCGTTTCTAAGTGGAGCCCTTCGTTCTTCTTTTTGAGTTGGGCTGTCACTCTGTGGCCCAGGCTGGAGTGCAGTGGCATGATCGTGGCTCGCCACAGCCTTGACCTCCTGGGCCCAGGCGATCCCTTCAGTGTCCCAAGCACCGGGACTATAGGCGCATGCCAGCATACTTGGCTAATTTTTGGGTAGAGGCAAGGTCTCACTATGTGGCCCAGGCTGGTCTCAAACTCCTGGGCTCAAGCCACCTCCTGCCTCAGCCTCTCAAAGTGCTGGGATTCCAAGCATGAGCCACCATGCCTGGCCAGCCTTCAGTTATGAAGTTAGATCTTACACAATTTCTGGGTGTGAGCAGATAAACCATTTTCTCTACTTTTTCTGATTTTCAGGAAATAAGTGCTCAATCTCTGACCTGTGACCTAAGACTCACCCTCTAGTGCCCACCTTGGCTTCTCTATCAGCCAGAGAATGCACCTTATGAGCTAGACAGGAAAACCCAGTTGCTTTAGGTCCAGAAAATGGGGCCATGACATGCCATTTGAGAGAGGCAGTTTGGACCCTGGCTTAGAGTACTAGAGTGCCAATACTGTTCAGGTTTTTTTTTTTTTTTGAGTCAGGGTCGCACTTTGTCACCCAGGCTGAAGTGCAGTGGCTTGGTCATGGCTCACTGCAGCCTCAGATTCCTGGGCTCAGGTGTTCCATTCGCCTCTCTCTGCCTCCCAAGTAGCTAGGACTACAGGTGCACACCACCATGCCTGGCTAGTTTTTCACTTTTTTTATAGAGACGAGGAAGATCTTGCTATGTTGCCTACGCTGGTTTCAAACTTCTGGGCTCAAGCAATTCTCCTGCCTCAGCCTCCCAAAGTGCCTGAATTACAGGTATGGGCAGGGCATGGTGGCTCATGCCTATAATCTCAGCACTTTGGGAGACAAAGGTGAGAGGACTGCCTGAGCCCATGGGTTTGAGACCAGCCTGGGCAACTTGGCAAGATCTCATCTCTGTAATAAAATCAAAAATTAGTCAGGCGTGGTGGCACATGCCTATAGTTTCAGCTACTTGGAAAGCTGAGGTGGAAGCATCACCTGAGCCTAGCAAGACAAGACTGCAGTAGCCATGTCACTGCACTCCAGCCTGGGCAACAGAGTGAGACTCCAACTCAAAAAACAAAAGAAAATGAATTAACAGGTGTGAGCCACCATGCCTTGCCTTTTTTTTGAGTGTTCAGGCTTCTTTAAGGAGAAACTGAGCTGAGAGGGGGCTGACCAACTAGGTCCCAAGGCTACATCCAGGGCATGTGAATCACTGCAGTCTGATGTGACTCTAAGAACTGGGAATGAAAGTAACACGTTTCTCCTTAACAGAGAGGCTGTGCTGCTCTCCATGTGTACTCACTTGATGGCGTGGTACATGTCTTCCAGGATGTCCTGCTCAAAGTCCTTGCCACCATTCACACCCTTGAGGTTTTTGCGAAACTCCTAGAAATAGGCCAGTAAGCTTTTCCCCCCATGTCAGTGATGAAGCCCCACCCAAGGAACTCGGGTCTGTGGTCAACAGGACACAGGGAAGAGTAAGCAGAAGAACCTACCTCCCCGCCCTAGTCCCTCTTCTGGTTGACCAGCCCCTCCCTGATTCCCTTGGACACCATGCCGATGTCCCTCCCACTGCCCCCAAAGTGGTATGGATCTTCCTTGCCTGGGCTTGGCCCAAGCTTACCTCCAGGGTCATGGGTGCATTCTGCTTGCGAACGTTGTGGTTATGCTGGTCAGTATTAAGCATGATGACGGCATAGGCCAGGGCAAAGCAGGCATCGCTATTGGCAAATGGGGAGCCATTACAAGTCTGAAAAAGCAAAGACCCCACCTGTGTCAATGCCTTTCTTTAGGGAGTTAAACCCTCACTAGCAACCCACTGGTCAGTGCTGGTGCAGGGCAGAGGTACTATCCCCCCGAAGGGGCCAATCTCTAGCCAACTCCCCTTTTTTTCCCTTGATTTTACTTTTATTCGTTTCTGGTTTTTGCTTCTTCAAGAAAAACCAGCTTCTTAACAGGAGCAGGTCTCTCCATGGAGAGCTCACCAATGTTACTCTCTGCTTCTTTGACCTGGGCTCATTCCCTGACACTCTTAACTCACCCTCCAATGCTCTGTGAATGCTTCCAGCAATCTCTGGATAACTGGTGCTTCCCCAGGCAGACGAAAGGCTTCCAGGTAAAGGCGGAGAGCTTCATCCAGCCGTAGACCCTGAAAACTGAAGGTGCTATGGGGAAAGGAAGGAGGCTGAAGGTGTGTGATGTGCATACTGGGCTGTCAGCCACTGTCATCCTAACCTTCTCTTCTGGAATAGAAGTGACCCAGGTCTCTAGGCAGGCGGTGGTATCCCCTGGTCATTCCTAACCCAACCCCTGACCTTGGTACTTCTCACATCCACAGATTCTTGCCTGAAGCCTCACCCTGGAATCTGCTCCACCCCTCTGCAGTGCTCTCCAGGCATAACGGAGGGGATCCCAAAGCCGCCTCCCTGGAGACCACTCAGGGCCAGCAGCTGCACATGAGGAGGAGAGGAAGCGCGTTCTCCCTGGGACTGGTGGCTGTGTCCCACGTCACATACAGCCTGCTCACCTCACGAAGCTCTCCAGCAGGTCAATGTTCTTGCGGTCACTCACAAACTCTCCAATCATCTTCTTGTCCAGTCGAGGGTTCTCTCGGAGCCACTGGGCAACCTCCACATTGTCCATTGGGATGGTGAGGAGGCCCTTCTCCTGCAGAAACTGGATGCCCTTCTTTGGCTTCTGGTTGAACTGCTCGGTGCCAGTGATTAGCAGCTGGAGGAGAAGAATAAAGGTGTGAGAAGCTGCTCTGCTCCTGTCAGACAAGGCCAAGCTAGACTCCACTACAGTCCACAGTTGGTCACCTAACAAACTCCTCGGTGGGATTCTTAGTGACTCCAGAACCAAGGCTGGATCACGGAGGCCATGGCTTCCCCGATGCTCACTTCTAGTTAGAACTGGCATAGAAGTTCCTTTTCTAGCCAGGTGCAGTGGCTCAGCCTGCAATCCCAGCACTTTGGGAGGCTGAGGCGAGAGGATTGCCTGAACCCTGGGGTTTAAGACCAGCCTGGACAATGTGGTAAGACCTCGTCTCTATAATAAATCCCAAAAACTAGCTAGGTATGCTGGCATGTGTCTGTAGTTCCAGCTACTTAGGAGGCTGAGGCGGAAGGATCACCTAAGCCAAGCAGGTCGAGGCTGCAGTGGCCACAAGCCTCTGCACTCCAGCCTGGGTGACAAGAGTGAGACTCCAACACAAAAAAAGAAAAAAGAAAGAAAGAAGCTTCTGAGTCCCAGGATGCATGCAACAGCCTCCTCTCTTCCAACCTGGAGATCACAGAAAAATGCACAAGAGACTACAAAATTCCATCCTTGACATATGTTGACAGCCAGGATCTTGTGTACAGCCTAAGAGTCCCATGTTTTTCTGGTTACCTAGCTCTTCAGGCCCTGGGTTTGAAGGACAGGGTGGGCTAACTGTGAAGGTGACTCAACTTTCTGTGTGCAGTCACAGCCCTGAAGTCAAGGGCACACATGAACCCAAGTCATATAAGCTGGCAATGAGAGGAAGAAAGGGTTAAATGGAGGGTTTTCTTTGTGTTAAGAAACCTCAAGGCACAAACAGTTATTTGAACTTTACTAAAGCACCAGAATAAATATCAGTTCTCTTTCACTGCCAGTCATCGTGCTGGAACTGAAGATGACCGATGACCTTCAGTGACCCCGTGACACCAGCTCCCCATGACACGTGGCTGCCAACAGGGGCGGTGCTCAGGGGCATTCAGCAGTGTAAGCCTGACTACATGGCCTAGGAGTACAGGCAGGGCTTTGAAGGAGACTTGGGCCGCTGATGTGCCAACAAGCCCAAAGACCAGGCTCAGGAAGCAGTGCAGCGAGCCGCAGGATTCTCCCTTGCCTCCGTCCTGAGAAAGGAACTCTGCAAGGGGCGCCGGGCGGAGGCGGCAGAGGCTGAGCTGGGAAGAATATATGTATGTACCTTCTTTTTGTTTTTAATTTCAGTTAGCTCCCGTGGATCTGGCAGGAGGCAGGAAAATCGAGGTGGCTTCCGGGGAAACTTTCTGTCAGCTAGGAACGAGAGGAAGAGAGAGAAAAACCCCTAAGACTTTTTTTTTTACAGAGATAATGACTTTTAGAAGGTCATGGATACACTCGCCAGTGAAAAAGGAGGGGTCTCAGAAGTCTCGTCCTCATCAGCCTTCTGCCTCCCTGGAAGTCCTGTCTTCTAGGACTCCATGGCTTCTTTCCTCCCTCTGGGTATGAAGGCAAGGCGAGCCCCTGGGGCTCTCTCAGTGCTGCCTTGGTGAGTCTGCTTTCCTCCTCCCACTCTCCACCAGACCCTCTGACGGAGGGCTCAGGGCCGCAGACACCCAGTGCCCACCTGTAGAGTCACCAGCTTCCTCCAGATCGCTGCATCCTGGCTTCCCGTGTGCCAGTGACAGCTGCCCTCCCCCTGGCAGGTGCAGGCTGGGAACGTCAGGGGCCACGCTGACAGCTTTCCTGTCACTGGCTGCTCTCTCAGCTGGTGAGAGAGAAGACGACATGTGGAGACTGGTGGGGCAGGAAGCCAAGCAGAGCTGCAGGAGAGGCTAAGTCCCAAGTCCAGAAGACTGTTCTCACACAGGGCACCACCCTGACCAGGACACACCCAAGGCAAAACATGTGGTCACTGTCCCAGCCCAGAACTCGATTCTATAACTTTGCGAGGAGGTCACCCAGTCGCTTTCCTTGACCTTCTGCAACCTCAGTCTCAGGAGGGAGACAGAAGATTAATGAGAGTGATGGGAGACGGAGCCTGGAGCTTTTAGGGACAGCAATCCTATAGCCTTTAATCTCTGCTCTCTTCTCTTCCCACAAAGAAATTGTAATTCTGTAAAAACTAAAGTTGGGAGGAGGAGAAAGGGGGAAGACCATGAGTCCTGCTGACCTGCCTGCCCGGCTGACCTGTGATTAAAACCCCTGAACTCCACCCCAGAAACAACGGGGAACATCCCAGGGGAAGGGCACGAAGGACTCTGTATAGAGAAGGGATAAGCACAGAACTCTGGGCGTCTCAAGAAGAAATGCTGCTCACTATTGCCAGCTTCTCGGGTGCCATCTATTGCCTCGTAGCTGGGTCTGGCAGTCTCTTTCTTCTCCTGCTGGGTGAGGCTGTTGAGGACTTTGGCCTGGCAATGGGCTTCAGTGCTGTCAATCACTGTCAGCAGGGCATCAAGAGACAGTAGGTGTGTTGTGTAGAGCTGACCAGACACAGGGAAGGCATTCTGCAAAGTAAACAGATTCACTTGCCTTGAGGTCAGCGAAGGCTTTGACACTTTAACGGATCATTTTCCAAAAACCCCTACGCCTCCTAAACATCTACGTTTCCCTTGGGAAATGCCTTTCTTCCTGTTTCCCAGCTCTCAGGTGTCCCTTCCCGGTATGTAGCATCCTCACTGCCACCAGAGAGATTTCCTTCATGGAGCCTTCCTCCAGGGGCCGGGAATGGGGCTCAGCACCTTGGACAGCAGCTTTGTGAGGTCTTCAAAGAGGTTAGAACAGTAGTAGTCACAGTCATAGTTGATATAGAGCTCGGTGACGAAGCTGGGGACGCGCCACAGCTGCACAGTGGCCTCCAGGGCCATCTCCTTCATCTCATAAGGCATCTTGGGCATCTCCACAGTGATGATCTCCATGAGCTTCTTGATGTACATCTGGCAACAACCCAGCAGTTGTCATTGGCAGGGGAGAGGACTCAGGACAGGAAGAGACAACGCTGGACAGGAAGGGCACTGAGCAGGAAGGACACAGAAGCCCAGACAGGAGTCCTGCACTCAGAGACAACTCAAGGGAGTCCAGCCCCTGAACTCATCCCTCTCTCTGGCCCCCATGCTGAGGATAAGGCCTGGCTTTCCACAGAGACAGAAAGCAGGTTTCTAGAAGAGCTGGTTTGCCTGATCCCAACAAGCTACCCACTGCCCTTCTTGGGCTCTCCGTGAGGGCATGGAAGTTAGTGGCAATGCTGGCTTGACCTGCTTGCCTGTGTTGCAAAGGAGCCGCTGGGCAGAAGAGCTGTTCCCCCCGTGGCGCCATCACCAGCCAGTCTGCATGCTTTGGTTCTCTCACTTTATAGTCAGCCCATTTCCTCTGGTCTCCAAACTTTTCCACTACACAAGCCAGTCGATGAACCAAAACACAGAGGCGAAAAGTACTCTCCTAGACAGAGCCTCTAAATCCCACCCCTGTAGCACGACAGAGCTGGCCCTGCTGAAGATACTGTCAAGAAGCTTACCTCCATTTGGAACTTAAGGTGCTCTCGCATGCTCTCAAAGAGTAGGAAGCACACTCGCAGGGAAGCAGCATAAAGGTTCAGTCGCTCCACGCTGAGAAGCTGGAGAGAGAGAGCAGGGCGGCCATGAAGGTTCTAAAGCTGACTATGGCTCAGCCAAGAGGGAGGCGAGAGAGGCGACCTGGGGAAGTTGTCATTGAGGCCCTGTGCTCCGACAGAGCTCTCTACCAAGTCATGCCTACGTTTTTTCCTGGCTGACAGAGCCCCTGGGGAACTCCCAAAAACCTCCTACCATGACTGCAGGCCAGCTGGGAGGGAGACGCTTGCCTGGGCCCTGTACTCTCAACACCATCGGCTAACCCTTCCTGCACTCCCCCGGCCTAAGAGGGGCTCTGAGCCCCTCTAGTGATCCAGTCTTACCTGGAACAAGTGGCGGCACAACTCATCCTTGATGAGGCCCAAGAGGGTCTGGCACTGGGCTACAGGGGCTGACTCAAGGGCCACCGCCAGCAAATGCAGTCCCATGTGGATCATAGCCTCGGAGTTGTGGCGGTCGTGTGGGTTGGTGAGGGAGACGAGGAAGCGGAAGAGCTCGCGGATGCAGGGAAGACCATATGGGACCAGAGCTGTGCCTGAGGAAGGCCAGGAGACGAGAGGGACCTCTGAGCAACAGCTAACCTGCTGGCTTGGCCTGCTGGCTCTGCACAGCACGGGCAACTTCAGGAAAGCGATTCTCTTCAGGGAAAAGGGTTCTTTTTTTCCTGGGGAAGTAAGGGGACTAGACTCCCCTTCTGGAGGAAATCAGAATCGATGACCTGACCTACACCCCTTTCATTCTTCCCCCTCCCTTCCTATTGCCCATCAAACTCCCTTTCTGTAGTCTAAGTTAGGGAAGGGCTCCAGCCATGCCACGGTCCTCTGGCTCGATTTCACGTCCTAGCTGGGAAATGGCTTAGAACTTGGACCAGCAGGTACTTGTCACCTTGGTCCTGGATGGTCTAGCTCAGGCAGCGTGGTGGGTAGGATGGGGAGGTGCACAGGCAGAGCCTGTCAGAGAGCACCCACCTTCTTTTTGGGAGGACTGTGTGAAGCGCACGCCCCGGGGGTTGACATAATCCGTGTCATGAACAGAGGCAGAGTCTGAGTGGTCGGCAGGGGACGTGCAATCCTCCAGCACTTCAGGGATGGACTCCACAGAGGTTGACTGGGCCTTTTCCGCGTGGGCCCCTTCCTGTCAAGACCAGCAGAAGGGAGGATGAGGCAAGAGCCACTGGGAACTCAGCCCCTGAAGCACCTGTCCTTCAGGCCATCGCTAATGGGCTGCAGGTGCAGGGCTGGCTCAGCAATTTAGGGATCGATGCTAAAAGGCTCCGGGCGGGAGTGTGATGAGCAACCCAGAGCATAAGGATGCCTGGAAAATACCTCCTGAGGCATCAGTGAGCTGCGTGACTAAAACCCTCGAGGCCTAGAGGCTCTCACAGGCTGAGGAGCTAGATCCGTACCTCCCAGAAAAGCCACGGCCAGCTCCCTGCCTCTGCCAAGCACTAACCTGTATGCATCCCTTGGGAGGTCCCACGGGTTACCTCAGACACGAGTCACGCTGTGGGTTTTCTAGGTAGCATGGCCCATTCTGGGAAACAAAGAAGACCTCCCGCACCCCAAAGCCCGGATAAAGGCTCCAAAGGACCAAGCCAATTTCCACAGCGGAAGACTGAAAAGGGATTCCTGAAGCCCTAAGCCATACCTGGGATTCAGGCTGCTCAGGAACCCCGAGCTCACTGCCCCCAGCCTCTGCAGCGGTGCTGTGCCCCGGAGAGCCAGGCTGCTCTACATCAGTGAGGTCCTCCTTGGAGGTAGTCTGGGAGGAGAATTCCAGGCCGCTGTCTGTAGAGGGGCTGACCACTGCGGAGGCAGCTTCTGAACTTGCAGAGGAGACTGGAGTGGGCACATCGATGAAGGGCACGCCACCTGCCAAAAAGGAGCGGAGACTCTGGGCACCCCATGGCACCAGGAGCAGCACTGGCTCCCAGACTGCCAGCTCCTCTCTGCAACTACTAGTCTCCACGTAGTCAGAGTCCCTCTGAAAGGGGAGCAACCACGCGCCACTGCAGGCTGCTGAGTAGCCACAGTCTGATCTGACCTGGAGTTCCCCTTTTGGCTCTCCACACAAAGACCAAAGCCCCTCGGTGGGTTGGGCTTCATTTCAAAATCTCGGAGAGACAAAGGAGCTCTTCTATCTACTCCAATCAGAGGAAGTGGCCCAGGGCACTCACCAGTGAGGCTGGAGGACAGCGTGGTTCCGTTGGGAGTGGGCAGCTCTGAGCCCGGTGTGACTTTGGTCGTGTGGCGTGGGGCTCGGGGGGACCGCTTTTGTTTCTTCCACTTGGATGAGTCACTCATGCCTCCTGCTCTCATTTTCAGCTGGAAATACCACACCTCGTTGGCACTGCTATTCCAGCCAAGACTCACCCCTAGAGATCTCCCTTCACCTACTGGTCTCTGGAAACGGCCCATACCCCACAGCTGTTGGCATAAGAGCCTAGGCCATCAGGTCACACTTCTGCTCTCCCACCTGGCCTCTCCAGTTGCCACTTTGCACGTTGGTACGACAGCATCCGTGCAGAAGGTGACAAGCTGCTCTGGTCACTGGTGGGGCAGCCCTCCACTTGTCACTCTACTTCCCTGGGTCCTGTAGATGACACATGACCCTCCTGCAGAAAGGGTCAGGGAAGGGGCTCTCGTGCCAGAGCCTGGGACCCACAGGCTTTCCGTCTCCGCTGCCCTCCAGAGCAGCCCCCTGCTCCTGGGCTCACGCAACTGGGAGAGCCTGCTCCTCTCCATCCAGACTCGCAGCTTTCTTACTACTGTGTGGGCTGGGCTTAGGCCATAAGCACATCTCCTGTTCTCTGGAATGGCCGCCTCGAATTGGTCGGAGGCCCACTCCTTGGAGTTAAAGAAGAAGTGGCCTCCAGTTTACTGTGAAGACAAGGACGGAGGTCACATTGGCTGCTGCTCTGCCCTTGCCTGCTCCTGATTTTGTCACACCAGTGGGGCCTCCTGCCCTCCTTGCTGTTGGTCTTTCGAGGTGGTTTTCTTTTTCTTTCTTTTTTTTTTTTTTTGTTGGAGTCTCACTCGGTCACCCAGACTGGAGTTCAGTGGCCACTCCCGGCCACTGCAGCTTCGACCTGCTGGGCTCTGGCGATCCTTCCGCCTCAGCCTTCTGAGTAGCCGGAACTATAGGCGCGTGCACTACCACGCCTGGCTAATTTTTTATTTATTGTAGAGATGAGGTCTCGCCAAGT